GGGGGGTTCAAGGGGGGCCTGGCCCCCTGAGGTAAAATAAAATCTTGGGAGTTACAGTTTTAACCAATAATTTGATATTTTACAGTTAGATTTGAAATTTTCTTGAAAATAATTGATTTACGACAGTTTTATTGGCTTTATTTGTGATCTGCAGCAAACAGTACTTGTACTGCAGTTTGACCCCTGAAGCAGTGCATCTGTGTGCGGGAGTGAAAGTAAAAATTTGGCTGTAGTTATTCGCACAGGGTGTGTGAATACTATGGAATTGTATTCGCACAGGGTGTGCAAATACTATGCAATTTTATTCGCACAGGGTGTGTGAATACTGTGAATATTGTGAAAATTTTATTCGCACAGGGTGTATGAATACTGTGTGAATACTAGAAATGTTATTCGCACAGGGTGTGTGAATACTATGGAATTATATTCGCACAGGGTGTGTGAATACTATGAAATTAGATCTATATTCGCACAGGGCTCACAGGGTGTGTGAATAGTACAAAATATTATTGGCACAGGGCGCTTCAAAAGAAGGATGGAAATTATCTAGATCTAGTCTAGCATTTCCTCATTTTTTCTTTTTTCATCCTTTTTCGCGTAGGGACAACGATCATGGGATAGATCTAGAAATCTAGATCTAATTCTAATTGTGCAAGCAATGCGATACAAAAAACCCCCCCAACTCAAATTGGAATTCATGTTGTGTATTGTGTCAATGATAATTACTCAAATCTCTCTTTTTTTCGTTTGTTTTTCTGTTTTCCTTGCGCTAGAGAGAGAGAGAGATGAGTGCATGCTTACTTTAACCCTAAATCTGAAACAAGTTATACTAGCACTAGATCTAGATATAATCTAGATCTAGTGTCCAGTTGTTTTAACATTTAAAGCCTTTGCCAAAAGGTGGGATACCCGGGTGGACAAACGAGGTCCAAAATCAACGTAGGTTCGGCCCTGTGCGAATAAAATTATTTCTTATTCGCAATAATTCTTACGCGCATACGCGGTGTGAATAAAATGAAATATTATGCGCACACCCGGTGTGAATAATCACTTCCTAAAAATTTACCTTCAATTCTATGAAACAAATAATAGAATCTAATCTAGATTTCTTAGATCTAGATCTCCAGATCTAGGTTTCTACATTCTAGATATAGATCTAATTAATGGGAGATTTATTTTGCCTGTATATCATGAGTAGAGATTTACTTGTATTTTTAGTCTAAAGCAAGTGGTTAATCTCACCCGGGGTGAAAATAATCCATGTCTCGCTATTCTCACCCTTACTGGAAATGACCTTAGGCCCTAGAGGGATATTAGGGCTGAGGTTACCAGAATGAACTTGCTTCTTGGGTTGTCAGTTTGGAGCCAAATCCCAGAAATCTGGTTCTTTTGGATCACGTCTGGCCCGCAGAATTTCAGGGAGGACTTCCGTAACAAGCAACCGCTATTGATTTAGATTATACTCAATGCATTGAATGGCCATCAAAATCAAGATGAAAGACCGAAAGCTACTGTTATACTACCTGGTCATGACAAAATTACTGTAAGTTGCGCATTTTTAGGCCCGTTTCAAAGTTTTGAAGATCTGAGCCAGGGATTAGATCTTGATCTAGATCTAGTTCTCAGTCAAGGCGCAGCCATTGTTGACCCTACAGACTTAATCTACTTTCGTTCTTTGGGAGCGCAGGTTTGCCAGGTTTTCTTTCAGTTTCTAGCCAAATTTTCATCTAGATTAGTTCTGCTTTAAATACACATATATAGCAGTAACGAGCGACCACTATGAAACAGGTTAGAATAGAAATTTACGAGTTGGGGTGAGGGGTAGGGTAAAGGGTATAGGGCGGTAGGGGGCAGTGTTACTGTAAGGGGTTAGTGTTACCGTTAGGGGTAGGGTAGGGAGATAATACAAGAAAGCACTGAGGTCGCGATTGGTTGCCATGGAATGCTTTTTCTAGGTTCTTTTTACTTCCTTTTTTTCTTCCATTCAAAACATGTGCGAAATGAAATGGTTGTTTATATAATTTTTCTCTTCATCCGTTACCGCGACACGGGCGCACGAAAAAAAAAAGGTAGACAAGTGCGGAGAAAACCGCGCTTGTCCACATTGGCAACTCAAACAACGGAAGTCATCCCTTTTATGCAAATGAGGTAGACTCGACTCAGAAATTTACTTTTGTTTATTTTGTTTTTTTAAGCAGATCGCATCAGCTTTCGTAATTTTGCGAAGGAACCGCTACAAACTCTTTCGAGGTAAAAAATGATTGCATTTTTGTAATTTTGAAAGATCATACACTCCCACTTAACTCAAGTTGGTTCTTGAGAATTTTTTTGACCAACTTCTGTCAACAGTGGTACGCTTTTGGATTACTAGATTTAATCATGTTTGCTTCTCTCACTGACAGAGGTTCGAATCACAGTCTCGTTGCCTGCAGATTTTTCTAATCATATTATATACATTTTCAGATGTTAACATGTCCCTGATTTGATAATATACATTACAGGTGAAGAGACAAATGAATCCCGGGGGGGTGCCACTGACTGAAGTGTCTTTAGGGGGGACATTTCTTGTTCTAATTCACAGTAGAAATTGGTCGAAAATTTTTGTTTAGGTCGGATAAGTCGGATTTTTGTCGGAAATATTTTGTTCCGACGGAAATGGTTGGATAAACGTCGACAATAAAAGGAAATTTGAGGAAATCTTAAGTTGCCTCGGGAAAGACCCGGGAAAATACATAAAAGGTTTAGAATATTTGAAAACCAAACCCGATAGCGTCCCTAAGTTCATTTAGTCGGTCGCGATCATTCAGCTTTTCCCGGTCTGAGAGTACGTTTCATGCGAACAGGCGGCTATGGCGGCAGAGGCTCGATCGGGAAAATCTAGATCTACTTTCGCTTTCACCACCACCCTGAAATTTGCCGATAAAAGTCTGATAACACAACATTGTTGTAACATGCAGTTTGTGCATTACAAAGGCTGAGTCGCTATGAAAATAAATCAATATTTGTCACATGTGTAAAAAGAAAAGAAAGTTATACAAGCGTCTTGTCGTGCTAGCCGTCGTGACTGGTCACTGAACATGCGCGTTTTTGCATGTCACACACATGATGATAGGACGTCGAGTGAGTACCGCGAATGTTAGGGTCACTAAAGTTCATTTTAAGCAGGGTTGGGTTGATTTAAATCAGTTGATTTAATCAACTTGATTAAAAAAAAAAATCAGTGATTTAAATCACTTTTTAAAAAAATTATTTTTATTCGGTTTTTACACATTTCAACATTCAGAATTCCTTTCCTTGGTTTCATAAAACAGATATAAGGTTTAGTAGACTAATATAATCATGCTTAAAAGTCTGATTTCCCCCCTTTCACTGTAAAATAATACAGTATTCAATTTACTTTTTTTTCCATAATTGAAATCAGAGCTGGGTTGATTTAAATCAGTTGATTTTAAAAATAAAAATCAGTGATTTAAATAACTTTTCAAAAAAATGTATTCAGTTTTTACATATTTAAACTTTCAGAATTCCTTTCCTTGGTTTTATTTTAAACGGATATAAGGTTTAGTAGACTAATATAATCATGCTTAAAAGTCTGTAAAATAATACAGTTCTCAATTTACTTTTTTTTCATAATTGAAAACCAGGGTTGGGTTGATTTAAATCGGGTCGATTTAAATCAGTTGATTTTTAAAAATTTAAATCAACTTGATTTTAAAAATAAAACTCAGTGATTTAAATCACTTTAAAAAATGTTTTCTGTTTTTACATCTTTAAACATTCAGAATTCCTTTCCTTGGCTTTTATAAAACAGATATAAGGTTTAGTAGACTAAAATTGCTTAAAAGTCTGCTTTTCCCCCCTGTCACTGTAAGTAGTAAAATAATACAGTATTCAATTTACTTTTTTTTTCATAATTGAAATTTGCATTTTCTTTTTCTTTTTAGACAAACACAAGCGCGTGCTCACACACACACACACTGTAATAAAAATAAAATGCAAGTTTATCTATGCATAATTAACCCCCCCCCCCCACCCCTTCCTTTTAGACTGACATTTTCTTCATTTTTGTCTGTAGCCATAATTCACTGATATAGCAGATTACGGCTTTCTAAAATTGCAGTTACTTAAATTAATCATTAGTTAAAATAAAGACAATGCATTTTGCACTAAAAGAACATACTTTTAGCCACCAAAAATCCCAAACTGTGTCCACATTAAAAAAAAAAAAAAAATCCGATTTAAATAAAAAAAATCTGATATAAATTTAAAAAATCGATTTTTAAAATTTTTATCAAAAAAATCACCAACCCTGATTTTAAGTCTGAGCGTTGCGAAGTATAGGACTCCGGGGTGGCGGGATTATTAATAAAAAAAAAAAGATACACTCAGGTGGGGGGGGTTTAAAGGCAACACCAGGGGAAAAAAACTGAACTTGGTAGCAAATTTTAGCATTAGCATTTAGAATTTTGACTGCAACGAGAGCTTTCTGCATAGCGCGTGTTGTGCAAGACTTGTATTCCAAGTTTCTCATTCATGAGATGTTTTCAGGCTGAAAAATAGCTGAGATTTTAGTGTAGTTGCACAAAACGTGGCTACCTTGGAACATTAATTGGGATTGCCCCAGTGATGTAGTCAGCTATCCTAAGATGTGTACAAAAAAGCTCCTTCTATGTGATTCTCTTTGACGAGAGCCGTAACACTGACAATGGCAAGAAACAGCTTGACTTGTAGTGGTAGGATTTTTAACAATGTCATGCTCATAACTGTGCCTGAACTACTGTAACTACAATAGGGTACTTTGCTGCTTTTTCTTTCCTAATCTTTACTATCGTCATTTTCCTCTACTTTAAAAAAATGTTTGCCACACTCTTGTGACCCGCTATTTCTAGGGTGCCTTGATAGTCGAAGTAGACTTTGTGCTGATGAAGCTAGAGAGATGAGCAGAGTAATCTGATTCCCTGTAAGGACTTCTCTGTTGACATCCACCCCTTGGCGCTCATATGACCTTATGCTTTTACGAGTGCCGTAAAACCTCTACTGAAAAAAAAAGACAAAGGAAGGCAAGAGAACACAAGAAAACACAAAGTCAGTTATACTTTCTTTCTTGCCCAACCAAATGCTAAACCTTATCTTTTACACAACCCACTCTAAAGTCCGTTCTTTATTGCGTAGGCTGGAGTGGTCACTAGTTATGAAAATCCCAACGAATTTAATTTTGCTCTCTGTGGCTCTTTTTTGGCTCCAAACTTCAAATGTTCAAGAAGGGGAAAAGAGAGGCAAAAGAAAAAGGAAGAACATAAAAAAAAACCAAAAATGAATTGCTTAATTTTAATTATTAAACTAGTTAACGAGATTTAATACTTTTCCCCCAACGCCGAATGCCGACTGTAAGTAGCTGTCCTTTTCCCCACAGAACGCCGATCGGCGACGGTGTGATATAGCATGTACTGCACCTGTGTCCTGGTTCGGGTGGATAGTGTTAATGCCTTCGCCCATTTGGTCTGAATAATTTGCAACCCTTTTCCCAATTGGATTGTTTTCAAGAAAAGTCTTCAAATATAGGCTAATTCAAATTGGCGTTAGTTTACTCATGGATGGACCCGTCGCCATCTTATGCTCAAAAACTCACTTTAGTCTAAAGTCTTTCCTTTTAAGCACCTCAACCCATTCCCACCTTCCCGGCAGCGTGTGTTAGGAAAACGGGCAGATTCCAAAAGTCTGTGTCATTCGGTCAAGTGCAGCTGTTTATGGTGCAGAGCCCTTATGGTGGCTCAGTAAGTCAGTACCACTTTGTCCTCTCAAAAAGCTAGGAGTAAGGCCAACATTCGTTTGACAAGGTGTTTACAAATTTTTGCGCCTTTGGGTTGTAAGTGAAGGCCAATGAGAGAAATTAACAAAACAGCATCGAGTTTGAAACTTGAAACAATCAGCTGCCTGTATTGCATGTTGTGTATTGATGTACAGTAAAGATCAAAGGCTTCAATGACGTGTCCCATCTGTTTCTCTTGTTTTTGCAAGAGTCAAACCAACAGCCAATAAGTACCCCCCACCCAATGCCTCTTTTTTTCTTAACTAGACAATGATGAGCCTGCTGAGGCTTTTTTTTATCACGCCTTTACACATATCCTTTTACCCTAACCCTGTCCTTGACATCCCAGGAAAAGGGACTATTCATAGCCATGTTAAGATTTTTTATCTTGCATTGCTTTTGCTCATCTTTTTTTTCTTTGTAGCTGTCTTCTTATTTTAAAAAAAACATAAGTGAAAAAAAATGGTTACAAAATCCAGGAGAAAACCGGAAGAAAGCCTGGAATTTTTTAATTCTTGATGAGTGGGAACCCCTGAATTGATCGCTTTTAAGCACTATCCTGTAAAATACTGTTTTGAGAAAATTGAAGATAAAGTTTTTTGGACCCTTGTTCAGTTTCTTTAAAATAGTTTTCTTTATAACCATACGAATATGTACGCTCCAATGAAACCAAACTTATCCTATAGGTAGGGCTGTGCCCTCTTTTGGTGTAGGTCAAGGTTTCTGGAAACCCCCGAAATCTGGGTTTGCCCGCTTGTCCTTAAACTTAAAGGCGACCAATTAAGGAGTCCTAATTTTATTTTTGTTGTTAAAACTGGAGTATGCTGGTAACAGATTTGCGAGAAGCTAATTATTGACTCACAATATTTTATGAAATGAGATGGTAACGACCTTTCATTTGTTTTTCAGAATTGTTCCTGTTTAGTTTGCTGAAAAGACTGAGACGCGCAGTTATCTGGTTCACACTGAAGGGATGGCCGCAACGGCTGCTGTTAAGAGTGGCCAGGCATCGGGTCGATCTGCACCTAACAATAATGTCCCTGTGAAAACAGAAATGCCACAAGATGGTGTGAAGAACATTGCTTTGACTGAAAAGGTCAATACAGTTGAAGAAAAATCTGGTGGAAAGGAGGATGTTGCAGCTAAGAAATATGTTGATGCTCCACCTCCACCTACTAATGCTTGGGCAAAAAGAAGTGCAAGTCTGAGTGCTGATAAAACTCAAGGGCAATCAAATTCTGAAGGTCAGTCTTAAGTGTGGTTGTGATTTACTTGACTATTGTAATTGCTATTCTTGTAAATTTTGGATTCTTTCAGGCAGTGTGAAAGAAACCACGTTGCTGTTGATTCATATTCTGCTTGGATGTTGTCTTTTTTTTTTCTTTTGTTCCGTGGAGGAAAAAATTCATTTCTATTATATTGGAAGAACCTGACTTGTGTGGGTTGACGTTTTCAAATATGTGTACTTCTTGCCACTATTTTGATGCAAAAAATACAAGCTCCTCTGGTAGGAGCAACCCCCCTCTCCTCTTAGCTTCATCTGGGGAGGGGGGGGGGGGGCGAATAATAGAATTTCTTTTGAGTTTTGGGGTAGTATCATCTTGTGAAAGGTTTCCATGACGGTATTGTGTACTTTTGTTTAACATTGTACTGGCTCTTATTTCAGATCCACCGCCTGTGAGCGCTGAGAAAAGTGCAAGTTCTGTAAACATCACAAGCACTTCAAGTGGTAAGCCAGCGAATGTTGCCAAAGCACCAAAAGGTGGAAATGGCCAAAAAGTAGACAAACCAAAGCCAGAAAAGACTAAGGTTGAAAAACAGAAGACTGATTCTAATGGCGGTAATAGTGGAAAGAATCCTCCGGCTGACCAAAAGGCCAAGACGAAAATGTTTGGGGAAGATTATGTTGAAGCCCCTCTTCCTGTGGTCAATCCGTGGAAAAAAACCAACAGTGCTGCCAACCCAACAGCTGTTGGATTTCATGGTGAAACTGACCCGACTCCAGCGGCGGCTGCTGCCCCTGTAGGCACTCGCAATAAAGAGGTCAAGGCAGCAACAGCTTCCATATCAGTTGGTGAGTTCAATTTTTGTTTCGTTTTTAGATTTGCTTGTCCGATCATGTCTTCTTTTCCTTCTTTGTGGTCCCCTGCTCGTTCTCAGAGGTAGTTGACTGCTGGTTCTTCAACCTGCAGTGCAACTGATTCTTAGGTATGTGACTGTTTTTCCTCCTAATTAGGGCTCATTGGCTTCAGGTAGCTGCATGATTCTAATTTCAAAGGTGCTCAGTTTTTGTACTGACTGGAGTATTTTAAATTTTGATAGGAATTCATTTTGAACTAAGCCCGGGTAGCAGTGGCAGCTTATCGATTAAGACCACCAAGGGATCTTTCATGTGAGCAACTTGCCCATTGGACCTCAGAGGTTTTTCAATCTTATCCAAGGTCAAGAAGGCTACCCTAAGATCAGGGATTTGACTGAAAGACAGCAGTAAGAATGGGCCAGGAGTAGCAGCAGAAACGGGGGTAAAGGAACAAGGGGCTTGGGGAGAATGAAAATAGAGAAGTTGATAGAACATGACTAGAGGTCAGGAAAGAAGGTGAAAGAAGAAAATTTTAGACATTAAAATACTTTCGTTGCTGTCAGGTTTCGAACTCAAGATCTTTTGAATGTGAGGCGAAAGCTGTACCTCCAAATCATAAAAGTCCCAATTTTCTGTCTCTGAAGTTTAATTATTTTTCACTACAAGCAGAACCATGGTTATTATTGTAGATTATTTTATCTCTTAAAAGGTTCTTGGGGCGTCCTGGAAATCCTATTTTGGTAAATACTCCTTTGGGTCTCAAAGTAATTTCTTGAGTCACTGTCGAGCTGAGCATCTAGTAAATTTGCATGGTTGATTCTACACTAACGAAATTGTTGCTGTTTTTCTTCTTCGTTTTGTTTTCCTTTTTTATTCCTCTTTGGTTTTTTTTTTTCTTGTTTTGTTCCTGCATTTGGTAAGCTTAAGTAGGTTACTGGAGGCTCTTGTGTCCTTGAAGTTAAGGTGTTCACCTCTCATTCAAAGGTCTGCTGCTTCTTCTTTCCTCTCAAATATCTATCGTCCTTATTTCCCCTCCTTCTTTTTTGTGTTTGTTACGCTCTTGTAACACTTCTAATCTTCGGCACTTATATGACCTTATTGTGTTGCAAGTGCCATAAAACACTTACTAAAACAAAACAAAAGGTCCCAGGTTCGAATCCGGGTAGCGGTGAAAAAATTTTCTTTTTAAAAATTGTCTGTTTTCGTCTCCCCTTTCTGCCTCCACCTCCTTTGCCCCTTCTCTGGGTTCCTGACTCTTTCTGCAGCCTTTCTACTGCTACTCCTTGGCCCCTTCTTACTTCTGTCTTTCAGCCACACCTTTAATCCTCTGGTAGGAAAGATCTACATCTAGCCTTCTCGGACAGGGGAGAAAAATCTCGGAGGTCCCATGTGCAAGTTGCGCACATTAAAGATCCCTTGGTGGTCTAAAATCGATAAGGGTAGCTTTGGCCGCCACCATGGCACAATTCAAAATTTTTTATCAACTGAAAATATTAAGGGTGTCTTGCACCCTCATTTGACCTGATGCAGTTGCGAGCGCCGTAAAACACTTACAAGGGGGAAGAAAAGTAGGTAACTGCAGTATTTATGTTTAAACTCCAGCCTTCTAAGTACTTTGATGGAATTGATACCCTCTGATTTTATTTTGTTTATTTATTAATTATTTTTTTTGGCCTGTTGGAGAGCCGAATCAGATTTCCATTTATGTTGTCTCTTTTTTTCTTCTTTTTCTTTAGTTGTTTCCGTCGTATGCAACTGAGAAATAGCATGAAAAAACAGGTTTATTTGCAATATTGCATGATCTCGCTATAATATATATATTATCTGTGTAGTAAGAGAATGGATAATCTATCATTTATTCTTACGCAAGTTTTGTCAGTGATTTCTAAAGAAATACATGACGGAAATGGCAGGTACACAGTGGAAAATTAGAAATACAGTCGGTGGGCAATTAAGTCATTTTCTGTGTCCAAGGTCTTGTGTTAGTTTTGTCCTAATTTTTATGAAGATTAATTGGAAAAATGGTTCGTGTTTTTTGTTGGAATAGTGTGTATCATACCTCCATTGACCTTTTCATTACTGGGGTGGGGGGGGGGGGGGGGGGGGGGTGGATACAGAAGAGATTCTCAGTCATTTTTTGTTTATAGAAGAAATACGTGTTCCATGTTTGTGTTTTGGAGCATGACATTAATTTGAATTTTTAAAAAAGTTTTGTTGTCATGCGTTAAAGGAATTAATGTAACAAGATCTGTTTAAAATAAAATCTGGGTAAACATGGCATTTTAATGTCTTTTAGTTTGGCCTGTAAAAAATGTTCATCTTACAGCCAGTTAAAGCATATAGCAAGATGGTGTATGCTTTCTTCAGACCAGTTTTAAAGACTTTTGACATGGATCATGTGTGCTTTTGTCACTATTTCTTTGGGGAAAAAAACAACTACATGGTACTTTTAATATTTTATACTCACCCGCGATGAAGCCCTGTCCTTGTGATATTCTTACTTTCTGAAGTCCAGGTTCCTTTTCTTTGTTTTATTCTCCTACAAGTTTAGATGTGCTTATATAATATCAGACAAGCTTCAGAAAGGAAGAAAATCTAAAAATCAAGACTTATTCTGTGTGTTGTAACAGTTGCTGTCGATCACCAAGTTGCATGCAATCGTTAAGGGGAAGTGACCCTCATGGACGAAGACTGTGTTTCTTGGGTTATATCCCTTAAAACCCTTGCTCCAAAGGACGTGTCACTAGTTATACAAATGTATTAGTCATGCGTAATTAAGCTTGCAGTTATTTTCATAAGTGGACCTCCACCTTGTACTTCCGTCTGTTTGAGCAACTTGCAATGACTGTTACACATGTTGACTCTGTTCTTTTTTATGTGGGCGTTTGCGTTGATCAGGCAGTCCGTGCCTAACGGGTTTTTTTTTTGGTTTTTTTTTTTTGGGGGGGGGGGTTCCCCTATATGTTTTCTTCAACGTTGCACCTCGTGGCCACTATTGCGTTTAGTAAGTTAGGGAGGGGGGGAGTGTCCTTCGCCCCGAAGCTTGTCTCTTTTCCTGGTGGTGCTTCTTTTTTGTGTGTATTGATTGAGAGCTTATAATTTCCTTGCAATGCGCTTCTGTTCAGTTACTTCCCACAATTTTGGGTTTTTCGTTAGCTGTAGCCGAAAGGGTGGAAGGAAAGGAAGATGACGGCTCGTCTTTGTCACAAGCAGCATCGGCTAACGTCCCCTTCTTTCTGACACATTCAACATACCCACGCACACAACACAACCCGTCCGAGGGTAAAAGTCATAAAATCGACCGCGACTTCGGCCGTGGCCAAGGGAGATCAGAGATTACCTGCCCCTCTGGGACTTTCATTGATGGCGGCGTTTACGGACTGGAAATGTAAATATATCCTCCCTTGCAGCGAAGGTACAGCAAACCGTTTTTTTAAAGTGTGGGGTTTGGGGGGTGTTGGGTTTTTTTTTTTTTTTGTTGAAAAAGAAGGGGGGGGGGGTTGTGGATGATAGAACTAAGAATGATCTTGTGAAGCTCTCCAGTCTGTGGTTGTGAGCGACTCTTGTCACAATACAGACGTGAAGTATTATGATTCAGGAGGACACGTGTACAATCCGCTATGGGTGTCACACGCGAGTAGCAGGGTTACAAACGAAACCCTGTTGTAACAATAGTTGCAAGACAATGTTTTGACGTGCTATTCGTCCGGCGCATATGTTATGCTGACAGCCGCTGGAGAATTGAAAGTTAAATTGCACAGATTGTACAATCATGATTCCGTAATTGCTTACTTATATTGATAAGGGCATTCATTTTTTAAAATGTAAGTTTGATCGTAGCTTCCAATTGATTCACGCGTTTTCGTGTTGTGTTACGGAAGTCAGGGTGTCCGCTTTTTGAAGTGACCGCCCTACAGATGTAACTATGTATTTTTATTAAAAGTTGTGTGGTTTGTGCATGTGTCAGAAGCGATGTGGGTGGTTGGCGGGTGCTCTGGCGTGGTTTGCTTCTTCTTTCCTATCAAACATCTATCGTCTTATCTTCCCTCCTTTTTTGGTTTGTTACTCTCTTGTAACACCTACTAAAACTCAGAAGCGATATATCATCATGAGCAGCATGCACCGCCATTGAACATAGACTTCGGGGGCGTCTGCACCTGCTGCTCAAAGTGTAATGTATACATTATTTCCAGATGAGTGGAGCTTTTATTGTGGCCGTCTTTTTACATGAAAGAAATCAGTAGTGTCGTTTAGTTGCCAGGTGGGACCCCTAGATGTTTGGCGCTGTCTTCGTCTAGTGTTGTAGGTGGCCACGGATCAATCATCCGGCTGGGGTATCCTTGACTTTGGATTGTTTGTTTTGAGCTTTATGATGGCCTTCTACTGCAAGAAATGAACAGCTGTGTGGTTAGACTACAAGTCAACAGAAAGTAGATACAGAAATAAAAGAGCAGGTGGTTAGAGAGCGCTATTTGTATGACCTGCCTATTTACTTTCCCTCTGTTGTTTCTGTCTGTTTGTCTTACTCTTCTCAGCGCAAAATGGCCGTTATTGCGTCGATGTACTGTTATTTACTCAATCTCAGAAAAGAATTGAGGTTCCTGCGCCGTTGTTATCTCTCTATTTTGTTCTGTCTGTCTTTGTATTTCCCTGCACTAATTGGCTGTTATCATGTCTGTCGGTCTGTGTGCTTCTCTTTTCCCAAGCACACCAATTACGTTTACTTTTTCATACCAAGGACAGATGGAGGTAATAGCAACATTTCATAAAGAAAGGTGAAGCAGAACGCCCCCCTCCTCCCGCGACCGATTTGGCATTGTAAAGATACTTCGAAGCTTAGTTCAGGATTGCAAATCACACACAAATATTATGGCACGATAACGGTCATCTCGTCACGGGGACGAAGAAGTTCCACCGGCTTCTAGCTCGACAAAGAGGTAGAATAGAGGCAATGGGACGTCGCGGTGCGCCCCCCAGTCAATAAACAAGAACGG